TGTGAGGGCATCCAGCATTGCATCAATCTGTTGAAACATTTCAATTGATAGTCCATCAATTCTTGAATCTGACAGGAACTTCTGGCAGTCCCTGCCACTGTACTGTTGCAACTGTTTTTTCATTTTTCTTTAGCAAAATTTTACTTGCATGTGATATTAATGATATTGTCTGATGATTTTTTACACATTCCATTGGATCACCTCTCTTCGGAGTCAGTTGGCCATGTAGCTGTCTTTCAAATTTCTTGGCATAGATAAGTGAGTGCCTCCAGTGTTATATCAGTTTGTTGAAAGATTTCAATTTGTAACAATTCCCAGGACCTTGTTCTTTGCCAATAACTTTAGTGTACCTTGGACTTCTTCTTTCAGTACCATTGGCTCTTGATCATATGCTTCCTCTTGGAATGGTTGAATATCGACCATTATTTTTGTACAGTGACTCTGTATTCTTTTGATCTTCTTTTGATGCTTTCTGCATCATTAAATATTTTGCCCATAGCCTCCTTCAGTATTTCAAGAAAAGCTTGAATTTTTTTCATCAGTTCTTTAAGCTTGAGAAATGCAAAGTGTGTTCTTCCCTTTTGGTTTTCTAACTCCAGATCTTTGCACATTTCATTATAATATTTGGCTTTGTCTTCTTGAGCTACCTGTTAAATTTTCTGTTCAGCATTTTTACCTCATCATTTCCTCCATTTTCTTTAGCATCTTTACACTGGAGAGCAAGCTCAGAGTCTCTTCTGACATCCAGGATAGTTTGGCACAAACTTTTGAAGACTGGTATTTCCATGGTCTGCACAACTATCTCATTTAGACCAGGCAAATTTCAGAGAGAAATATATTTTTTGAACTCTGGCCTATGCCTAAAAGCAGCTAAGCTTGCTACTCTAGGGTTTCCCCAGTGCTATAGTGAGCAGCACAACTTTATAAAGATTATTTCCAATTTACTCTATCTAGTCTCATACCAAAAGGAGCTCTGGTAGTATAGTGGTCACAAGTCGGGCTTCTAACCTCAAAGCCAGAAGTTTGGAAATACCAGCTATTCTGTGGGGAAAGATAAGGCTTTCTACTCCCATAAAGATTTATCACCTCAGAAACCTTATACAGGGCCTCTATTAGTCAGAACCAACTCTATGACACACCACCGCCACTGGTGTCACCATAACTATAATCAGAGACATACTTCTAACCCAAGCTCAAATGCTTTTCAAAAGCTGGTCTCTAATGATGTTTGTGACTGCCCAGTGGGAGTAAGTGAAAGACTTTGGATGATGCTTTGGCAAATGTTCCAACAAGGACAATAATTAATCCTCAGCTGATTTGAGAGGTCATTGCATTAAGAAATCATGCACTTATCAACAATGTATTTAAACATCTCTCTACCATCAATAATGAACAAATTATGAAGAAGGGCCTGTGAGTAACAACAATAACCGAGCCATGGATGAACAAGCTCAAGATTTGCTTGGTAGACATTGTGCCCTAGTTTAGTAGGTCTCTAGAAAAACATATTCAGAAAGAAGGTTTCAATCAGAAATAAAAGGAATTCTCTCCAACAAACATTTTGAAGGCCATAAACCTGGCAGAGTTCATTTGAGAAAACAATGTCTTATCTAGTAGATTTGATTCACATACATATTTTATAGATATATTCACATATCTATTTTACTAGCTTTTCCTGACTTGAAAATCATTGCATTATTATTCTCAAGGTTTGAAATTTGTATTGATTGTAGTTTTAAGAGATCTAAATATATATATATAAATGAAGGTTCATTTCCACTTCCAGGAAAAGCCAAAAAGTAAGTACAAATTATATATCTGGAGCTATAGCTAGATTTCTTAGTAAATTCAGACTGGTAATTGGAACCCAAAATAAACTAAAATTTCCAAAATTTCTATCTAAAAAGCAATGTCCAAAATTTCTATGTGAAACAAATTTTCATGTGTCTCACTTAGATTTTAATTTGAAATTTGTTCTAGAAATGCTTTCATTACAAACTCATTGAGTCTGTTTGTGTTTCAAATACCTGGAGGAGAAGATATCAATGAATGGGCTCAATTTAAATACTGAGGAATCCACAATCAACTAGACCCAGGTCAGTGATAATTAAATCAATTTCTTTTGTTTTTCCCCACAAAATCTTGAGTATGTTAATTTAACCAAATTATTACCACTAAAATAGTGCTTGCAATAAGACTCCGTGATTTGTAGGCTAGTATTTTTACATGAAAATGAACTTGGATAAAGTGACATGAAATTATTTTCTTTTGATACTTGAACATCTAATTAGAGATTTACAGGATTAATGACAGCATTCAGGGTCACCACTGTGTTTCTAGTAAATGTCTGGTCTGTTCTAAGCTCTAAAAATAGAGACTTACTGAAGAAATAATAAATGAACAAATGATTAGTCTTTATAGAAAATCTGTATCCCAACTACCAATACAACCCCTGTCTGTGATGTAAGCAGTCCAGATACTATTAAGAACTAAAAGTCATTTTTATAACATTCTGGTTTCACATTGCCAAATTAAAGTTAGGATCTGTCTATCTAAACTATTAAGAATGATTAGCCACATGTGGTTACAAAAGCCATGGGTAGGGGGAAACTACTCAGGGATTGAGCTCTCCTGAAATCTCAAGCTTTTTTCCTCATCTTTATTGAAGTTGAAATGTTCATGTTGCTAGATTTGGTGTGCATACATAGTAAATGAAAAATATATTCTTATATTAGTGCAGGGTGGGAAGGAAGAGGAAAAAAGAATAAAATAATTTATGATCCTTCATAACAATAGCATGTCCTTACTCTTGAAAACCAGTGTATGGATCATAACCAGAAATGAATGTTGGCGTTATTGTTAAGTACTTGTGGAGTTGATTTTGAACCTTATAGGGTTTTCAAGGAGCAGCTGGTAGGTTTCAACTGCTTACTGTGATTAACAGTCAGATGTTTATCCTACAGAACTAACCAGGATACTGAGATGCCCATGATACTGGATTTTGTGCCTATAAAATGTAAAATAAAAATATGCTATTATGTTATTTCAGGGGTTAGGAAGAAAGAGGAGTTCTGGTGTGGTGCTGTGGGTTAATGTGCCAGACTTCAAAGTTGTTTGAACTGCAAGGTTGGTGGTTCAAGCTCACCAGCTTCTCCTTGGAAACCCCGTACAGGGTCGCTGTGGGTTGGAACCAACTCAACAGCACTTCACAACAATACAGGAAGGAAGGGAGAAAAAAGAAGAACTTATGATCCTTCATAACAATGTTGTTGTTAAGTGCCATTGAGTCAGTTCTGACAATAGTGACCCTGTATAGTGTTTCCGAGGAGTAGCTGGTAAGCTCTAACTGCTGACCCTATGGTTCAAACTGCCTTTGCAGTCCAGTGCATTAACCCACAGCACCACAACTTAGCATATACTTTACTCTTGAAAATCCATATACAGATCATTCCCCCAAAAGGAATATATTCTTGCATATTATCAGTGTTTATTCAATTTAGCAGTAAAACCTCAAGTTTATCTGAATTGACTAAATGTGTGACTGAAGGAAAACACGGTGGTATGTTATACGGTCCTAGTGTTTCTGTCTTGTCAATAAGGAAGTCAAGGAATCAACATGATTCATTTATTTCTATCTATAAACTGCAAGTGGGGAAATATATCAAATCCAGAGTATGATTCTACCTGATGAAAGACCCAGTGCATGCAAAGCTCACTTCAGCACTCTTGTGAACTATTCAGAGGACTTCCCACCATTTGCATGTCCATATCCAAAGATAAAGTGTTGATGAGATTGAGTGTGAAGTAAAGGATAATGTTGAACCTAGTAGAACGTACCAGGCTACTGACTGGGTACCACTTAAGATGCTGTATGAAAGATCCATCATGAGCATTTTGAAAGAAAAAAATCTCCATTTACAACTATGTCTTAATCTGTATGCACTAGTGTGATCATCTTACAAAAATGGTCTGTTTGAACCACAAGGTCGACCATTCAAACTCACCCATCACTCCTCAGAAACCCAATATAGGATCACTATGAGTTAGAATCAACCCAACAGTCCTTAACAACAATAGATTCTAGAACACAGCTGATATAGCTATAGCACATTTACTCAAGTTTGTACATCTTATCTACAGTAAAGTTTTTAAAGAATATGTCTGTATACCTATAAATAAGGAGCTCTGGTAGCGTAGTGGTTACGAATCAGGCTGTGAACCTTAAGGTCAGCAGTTTGAAACTACCAGCTGCTCCATGGGAGAAAGATGAGGCTTTCTGCTCCTGTAAAGATTTACAGCCTCGGAAACCCTGTTCAGGGTCGCTATGGGTCAGAACCGACTCAACGGCACTTAACAACAACAACAATACCTATAAATAGCATGCCAACAGACAAGTGTAGCTTCCAAAATAATTGTTATTTATGAAATAATTGATGAATTTGTCATCAAAATTTAAAGAAACCAAACCCTCCAATCTGAGAGGATTTTAAAGACAAAGAGAAAGTTGGGAAACTGACCATGTATCATCATTAGTAATAACACCACGTGATTCATGACATAAGGAGCTCTGGTAACTTACTGGTTATGAGTAGGGCTGTGAAGCTCAAGGTTGGCAGTTTGAAACTAGAAGCTGTTCCATGGGAGAAAGAGGAGACTTTCTTCTCCCATAAAGATTTACAGCCTCCTTGGAAACCCTATACAGGGTTGCTATGAGTCGGAACCAACTCCACAGCCTGTAACCAACCAACCAAATTACTGAGATGTTTGTAAGATATTATTATTATGTGACTAATACAAATGAAGAGAAATTTAACCTCCTTGTACTCTTCTTTTATTATTATATGCAAAATGGCAGAGGGGAAAGGATTTTAGTTCCAGCAAAATAAAGACCAGGACAAAAGAGGTGATGGAATGTTTTGTTATTAAAAATATTATCTCTCAAAAATACTGTGATCTTTTCAGATGGGTCGCATTCCTTCAACCCAAGCTGCATTGGGAGAATGAGCAATGTAACAGAATTCATCCTGCTTGGTCTAACTCAGAATCCAAAACTGCAGAAACTCTTATTTCCTGTGTGTTTAATCATCTACTTGATCACATTAGCAGGTAACTTGTTCATCTCAGTCACTATCTTCATCAGCCCCACCCTGGGCTCACCCATGTACTTTTTTCTGTCATGTTTGTCCATTATAGATGG